CTACCCTCCACACACACAGAATAACAGACATACACCCACAGATACACATATACAGGCACATTCACACACACCCAGACCGCTACACATTCTGTCGCTCACACGCACACACAATCTAGACTCCCCCTCTTACACCTACACACTACACAGATACACACACACACACACTTTGGTCACTGATAAAGGCCTGAACTCATCTAAGACAGAGGGGCAGAGCGAATGCAAAATGAGGAGGAAGCTAATTCGTTAGAAAAACAATGCTTGGAACATTAAACCAATACAACCACAAGGAAGGGCTCTCACTGAAAATGGGAGGAACCGCACCCTGTAATTACATTAGCCAGTTCGAAGTTGGCCTCAGAGATCAGGGGCAGGCTGATGAAGTGGCAGATACAGGTCCTTTCTGACCACGGGGGCCATCGGCCACGCTCTGAGGGTCAGGTATGAGCCGTCAGAAGGACGTGGAAATGACCCACAGTCTCCTCACCAGGCATGTAATGAGTGCTGTTCCTGCCCTCTTAACTTTAGACACAAACAAGAAATGCAAAATAGAAAAGCATTCTACATAGCTGTTTGAGTTCTTATTATCCGCTCCCTTGGCCTAGACCCCCCGAGAACAAGCAATAGAAACAGCTCCACTAGAAGTTGAAAGTGATAGTCAAGTTTGCCACTTCTCCTCTTTTCCCAAAATATCTTTGCTGGAGATGGCAAAATCCACTCAGAAGAGCCCAGGTCCAAGAAAGGGCTCCCCCTTCTCGTGGGCGAATGCCCAGACGAGAGGTTATTTTGTCCAGGTTCCCAGCAGGGTGCCCTCTTGGCAGAACCGAGGAGTCTTTATTAAAGGCAGGCAGGTATGTGGCCCACGCCCTGCTGGAACCCTATTTACTGAAACCGAGCCCCTTCCCCCTTATCAACAGGAAATTGGGAGACAAGAGCTGGAGACAAGGATTAACTTTCAAGGGCTGGCTGTCTTTAACAGAAAATGGAAGAACCCCGATGGCTCCACCCATCTCAGTCATCTAGTGCTGCTATAACAGAAATACCACAAGTGGATGGTTTGAACAAAGAGAAGTTTATTTCCTTACAGTAAAGCAGGCTTAAAGTCCAAATTGCAGGGTGTCAGCTCCAGGGGAAGACTTCCTCTCTCTCTCGACCTTCTTCTCATCAGTGTTCCCCCAGACTAGGAGCTTCTCCGCGCAGGGACCCCAGGTCCATAGGACACGCTCTACTCCTGGCACTGCTTTCTTGGTGGTGTGAGGTCCCCCACTCTCTGCTCGCTTCCCTTTCATCTCTTGAGAGATAAAAGGTGGTACTGGCCACACCCCAGGGAACTCCCTTTACACTGGATGAGGGATGTGACCTGGGTAAGGGTGGTGTTACAATCCTACCCTAATCCTCTTTAACATAAAATTTACAATCACAAAATGGAGGCCAACCACACAATTCTGGGAATCATGGCCCAGCCAAATTGATACACACATTTTTTGGGGACATAATTCAAACCATGACACCACCGGAAGGGGGAGGAACAACAATTAAATCACACAAAAATACCTAACAGGGGTCAGTTTCCTTGAGGCAGCTTCCTGACTCACCTGGCATTGAAACCTAAGAGGTCATCTTCTAACCAGGAGAAGATGCCAGAATAACATAATTTTAGAGGACTGTCTAAATATTAGGGGGCAGTGGTGCTCAGTGGTAGAATTCTGACCTTCCACGCAGGAGACCTAGGTTTGATCCCCGGCCAGCGCACCTCATGCATGTGGAGGCGTGCATGTTGCTATGAGGCTGAAGAGGTTTCAGCAGAGCTTCTAGACTAAGATGGACTAGGAAGAAGCCCTGGCAATCTATTTCTGAAAATGAGCCAAAGAAAACCCTATGGAGCGTAACAGTCTGATCCGCAATCATCCTCGGGATGGCGTAGGATTGGGCAGCGTTTCCTTCTGCTGTGTCGGGGCTGCCATGAGTCGGGGCCAACTAGATGGCAGCTGACAACAACAATCTAAATACGAAATACTGCGACACACTCCGTTTCACTGTGCTTTTCCCTCCTGGTTTGTATCACAGGTTATAAGGCCAGATCTTCTCATCTGAGATCTCGCTCCACCTCCACCCGTCCACTCCACCAGGGAGGGGGCGGTGTCAGCCTCTTCCACTGCTGGGTCCCAAGCTGGGCATACAGTAGGTGCTCAATAAACATCTGGTGAAACGACTGGCAGCAGAACACCCAAGGACTCCACAGTTCACAATGCCTTCTTTCGGGGGTCCACCCAGAGGGACCCAAGAGGGCACAGCATCCCCTCCTCATTTGTCAGGCACAACGGGAGGGCAAGAGAGACACGTACAAACCAACCAGAGTGAAGCAGGCTGGTCGGAGGCTCAGGCCTTCTTGCTCTGAGTCCAGCTCTTTTGCCACTAGGCTGTCAGAAATGGCTCTCGCTTTGGAAGATAGCAAAGCTGTCCTTGCCAGGGCCGCTCCCAACAGGTAGCCCCTGCCAGACATGGCTTTGCAATGAGGAAACATCTCTTTGAGAAGCTACAGGGCAGTTCCTCAAAGTTAAACACAGAATTAGCATATGACCCAGCAATTCCACTCCTAGGAATATACCCAAAAGGATTGAAAACAGGTGCTCCAACAAAAGCTTGTACACAAATGTTCATAGCAGCACTCTTCACAATTGCCAAAAGGCAGAAACAACCCAGATGTCCATTAACAGATGAATGGATAAACAAATTGGGGTACATCCATACACTATTCAGCCAGAAAAAGGAATGAAATACTGGTACATGCCACAACATGAATGAACCTTGAAAACATCGTGCTAAGTGAAAGAAGCCAGACACAGAAAGTCACATATTGTATGATTCCACTGATTTGAAATGCCTGGAAGAGGCAAATCCGTAGGGAGAGAGAGTAGATTAATGGTTTGTCAGGGGCTGGGGAGTGCGGAATGGGAGTGACTGCTAATGGGTATGGGTTTCCCTTTGGGGTGATGAAGATGTTTTGAAATCAGACAGAGGTGGAGGTTGCACAGCATTGTGAATATACTAAGCGCCACTGAATCATACACTTCAAGATGGTTTATTTTATGTTATGTGAATTTTACCTCAATTAAAAAGAAAAGAACCACCGGAAGTGCTAGCAGGGCAATGCCGGGTCTCTGCTCACTCTTCCCAGGTAGGATCATGTTTTGTACCCCGGTTGGTCAATGCCTCGCATACAGCAGGGGCCCATCAATGATAACCAGTGAAAACCAGATGTGCCAGACCAGAGGCTTCCATATTTTACCCTGGACACTCAACTCCACCCTGTGACCGGCACACATACACACAACTATATAACAGAGAAGTTGCACAAACAATGCTTAGCTCTATCTCCTGTGAGAAGTCCCTGGGTGGCATAAACAGTTAAGTGCTCGACTACTCCCCAAAAGGTCGGCAGTTCGAACCCATCCAGAGGTGCCTTGGAAGAAAGGCTTGGCAATCTGCTTCCAAAAGGTCACAACCATGAAAACCCTATGGAGCAGTTCTACTCTGCACATATGGAGTCACCATGAACTGGAACTAACAACATTACCTGTGACTCACTGTGATAAGGACAAACCCCCTAAATGGATTTTGCCCGGTTTGAAAAACCACATACAAGGTCACTTAACAGATGCTGCAGAACTTAAAGCTTTGAGAGTACTTACATGCACGAACACTTTCCTGATATTGCAGAGAACAGTTATAAGATGGTTGGCTAAATGCATGAGACGGTATCCTTGTATCTGAACTGTTCCATTATTTTTTTAATCTTCCTGAGCCTCAGAATCTTGTTTCTTTAAAATTCTTAGATTAAAACAACAACAAAAATCTGGTTTCTCTCTTTCATCACCCTGGCTGGATCTCCTTTCAATTCACTCATGTTCAGATGAAAAACAGACGACTCTTTGTAAACAGTTCAGTAATAAAAGCAGCAGATAACTTTAATAGGATTCAAAATGCAAATCAGAATTTTGGAAGTTGAATTCCAACGTCTAGATTTACTCCTAACAAAGATCTTGAGCCCAAAGAGTCAGAGAAGTATTTTAACATCCCAAACACAAGGGGCTCTCAAGGAAGAGAAAAAAACCGAGGCCAAATTGTGTGTGTGAGTGTGTGAACCAACATTTATAAATAGTTCAGTACCCAACAGAAGTGTTCTCAGTAGCAACGGGGACGACCGTTGTCCCAGAGAAAACATTTTCATGGGCCATGCTGTGGTCAGCAAGGAATCAGTCATGTGGTTTTAAAGCAGTTTAAATAGATGTAATCACAGAAAACCTTTTGTTAGCAAGACACAAACCAACACTTCTGTATAAGGCCACCTTAGCTAAGTGGCCACAACAGAGTATAAGATATACAGCTACTTTTGGTTTGAAACTGGTGAAAATTCTTCTTTGCAATTCAGTGTTTGCAACAGACTATTCCAAAGTTCCCAACAAACAGCGGCAGAACAAAAGAGCCTTTTCGATTTGTAAAAAGATATGAAGAAGCCAGTATACTTTGAACAATAAAATGGAATGGCCATCTAATACTTTGTACTCAGGCATCTGATACTGTTTTCTAAGATCCATATATTATATATCTTTGCAGTCCTTGAAAAGGGGCTCTTGTTTTGAAGCCTTTGCATTGCATATGTAATTAATAGCAGCTTGAGACGATTTTCATACCACCGTTTGAGCACAACTGCTAAATATGCATGGCCTTGGAGTCTGTCAAAGGAAAGAAAAGCACACAACCAGGATTGGGTAAGCAGCAATTTCTCAAGACCATAAATTACGGTTGAAATGACAACGCAAGCTGCACCAAAATGACATTATTTTCCCTGCACGCCCCTAAATGAAGCTGTATCAGCAGGTAGGAAACGGAGAGATGGCATTCAAATTCCTGGCGAGTTACAATGCCCCACTTCTAGCATCTCACAACCACCCCGATCAATTAACAAAGCATGTTTTGTTCGCAGAATGAATGAGAACGGCTTTCTTCCGCGCATTTATTAGAACTTGAAAGCTATGGCTTGCTGCCATGGAGGACATCCATTGGGTTCCAACAACCCAACGTCCAAATCTGACTCAGGAGCACTCCATGCAACTCAACATCAGTCATCTTGACATTGCAGGATATTCAGCAAGTCTGAAGTCTTTATCACGATGGATTTTCTACTGTTACGGAGCAAATAAAGGTTCTTTGTAGCACCGGCTGGAAACACAACACGAGACCCTTCTTCACACCATGAGAATTGATAAATAGTTCACCAAGTGAACCAAAGACTTTATTTTTTAAAAGCAGAAAAAAACAAAGTACTGTGTGGGTATCCATAGTCATTGCAAAAATAACTGCTGAAATTTCCAGAACATCAAGGGAATAAGCTGAATTAATGGTTACGGCTACATTTTTCAACCAATATACAGATTTTGTTCAAGGCCTAGGTATGATTTCTACTAACATTATTCACGTGCATTCCCTGTGACAACTGACTATCAAAAGGGGGACTCTTGGAAGTCGAGCCCAGCTTTGTCTTGATTTCAAAGATGACAGAGCAGCTCACCTAGAACCTGGCTTGCTGCTTGAGTCCTAGAAATCATGTCTTCTGATGCGATATAACAAACTGTATTTCTGTAAAATAAAACCAGACTTTGGATTCCTCAGAAACAGGCCAGGTCTCCAAGCCTTCAGCACCACAGTGTCTGGACCAAGCTCAACGGTGCTCCCCTTGTCTTTCCAAGCACACCACCAGGAAGCCAACAGGGGCCCCACTTTGAGACTTCATTATAGAGGTTTTTAAGAACCGCACTAATCCCGATTAGAGGCAGTGGATGAAATGACTCCTTTTCCTGTTTTAAAGCATATAAAAGTGAGAGTGCATTGGCAAACATGAAAACGATACCAGCCATATGGTTACAGAAAATGGTTCCATAAATCCCTCCTTTTCAAATCCTGTTCAGAGGTGTTTAAGACCAAAAGGAGGTCATAAAAACTGTTGATACAAACAATTCCTGCATGAGACAAAAGCCCTTCATGGACAGGGGTGCCGAGGATCTGGTCCAGACAGCCAAGGAAAGGCAGACTGGTGGTAAGATCCAGCCCTGATTTCCAAACACAGATTCATAACCTCACAGCTTTGTGTCTGGTGGGTGTTAACAGCCCCTCCTTGTACATAAAAAAGAAGAATTAAACAATTAAAGTGAATTTGTGTGCTAATGAAAAGTCGGCAATTAATATAATCAGAGACAAGCCCTTGAAGTCTGTAAGGCAAGATTTGTGTCACCAGGGGTGGGGTGGGGTGGATAGGATGGTAAGGGCTCAAGGCTGGTTCCACCCTATTCTGGCCAGCACAGTCTCAAAAAGTAAGGCAACCTGTGGCTTCTCAGCTCGAGACCACCACCAGAAGGGCCCACTGAGGCAGGGAAAGGAGCCAGCCCATGGCAGATTGCCAGAAGATATTCAGACAGGGCAACAACCCCAGTTAGATGGGATGAGTTGGGGTCACGGGTGGGCAGGAGACCCTTGAATCCACGCTTGCAGTGAATGTCTTTGAATATCCTGTGCACATCTCCAAGCAGCGATGTCTGGGGTTTGGAGGTTTGTGACTTTTGATGATGGACCCCTGGAGAGAGAAGACCACCTCAACAGAACCTCCACCAGGGTGGGGCTGGGTGAGAGCTGGAAAGGACTTCTTTCAGCTCACGGCCGCCTCCACGTTGGCCGAGTCCTACAAACGCTTGTAGGTGCCCAGGAGAGCTTTGCAGTTGGGACAGTAGTGGTCCACATCCTGCAGGGCGTCCACGCAGAAGGGGATGAAGCAGCAGCCCGCCACGCACCTGGGGGGACAGAACAGCCGTACACGGGCCATGTTAGTGACTGCGGTGGGGTGAGTGGTGGCCCCCCAAAGAGATGTCCATGTCCTAACCCTAGAATCTGGGAATGTGATCTTATTTAGAAAAAGGGTCTTCGGAGAAGTCATTAAGTTAAAGATCTCAAGATGAAATCATCTTGGATTTAGGGTGGATTTTAAACCCAGTGATCAAAACCAAAAACCAAACCTGTTGCTATCGAGTCAATTCCGACTCATGGCGACCTCATGTGTGACAGAGTAGAAATGAGGTCCATAGGGTCTCCTTGGCTGTAATCTTTACAGAAGCAGACTGCCAGACCTTTCTTCCGTGGCACCACTAGATGGGTTTGAACCGCCAATCTTTAGGTTAGTAGTTGAGTACAAAACATGTGTGCTACCCAGGGACCTTTCTGAATCCATGGACAGGTGTCCTTCTAAGAGAACAGAGAGATTTGAGACACACAAAGGGGACAGAAGAGGGAGAAGGGCCACGTGAAGATAGAGGCAGAGACTGAAGTGATGCAGCCACAAGCCGAAAAACACCTGCAGCCACCAGAAGCTGGAAGAGGCAAGGAAGGATCCTCTCCTAAAGCCTTCAGAGGGGGCACAGCCCTACTGGGCTTCTGTTGTTTGAAGCCCCCCAGTTTGTGGGCATCTGTTACAGCAGCCTCAGGAGACTAATACTCAGCCAGTGCCAAGGTTGCCCCCACAGACAGAGGGCAAGTCCTAGGTGTACTGTCAAACCCTGGGTCATCTGGGTATCTGTCAAAGTCTTAGATCAGGCGTCAGCAAACTTTTTTGTAAAGGACTGGAGGGTAAATATTTTAGATTTTGTGGGCCATGCAGTCTCTGCTGGGACGACTCAACTCTGCCCCTTGTAGCCTGAAAGTGGCCATAGACAGTACGTAAACAAACAGGCGTGGCGACGCTGGAATAAAACTTAAAACAGGAAGTGGGCCAGCTTTGGCCCAGGGGTCGTAGTTTGCTAACTCCTGTCTTAGACCGTAATTTTTTTAAGATTCTTTCTCATATGGAGAGACTCCTTCTTACAACAACAACCAAATAAAATTCCCCAGATAATGCCTCTCTTAACCTACATAATCAGTCACCCGCAGACAGGCAGGACCTTCAAGTGGCCTTACAATCGATGTTTGCCAAAGACGTAGTTAAAAAAACAAAAACAAAAAACGCCCAACGTTTTACAGGAAGATAGTAACTCACACAAAGCAGTATCTGGAACTATTCTGATGAGGAAGTATCTTGTGAAAGAAACCTGCTCCAATTGCTCAAGTTTACCAGAAGCTCAAATAAGAGGCGGTCAGTCCATTTAGAGACAACCCTTCCCTACAGCTCACCTGTGCAGCTTACCTGTGCGGGCACAACTCTACGCAGCACCGCACACACATTGACTCATTTTATCTTCAACAACCCCTGGGCCAGGCGTTTTTATTATCCTCAGTTTACAGATGAGGATACAGAAGCACAAAGAGGTGAAGTCACTCGTCCAAGGTCACACAGCTAATGAGAGGCAGATTTGAACCTACTCTACAACATTTATGGAAAAAAGGAAGGAAGGAGAATTTCGAAAGTCTAATCAGCTGAAGCCAACACTCAATATAGTTCCCATTCTGCCTTTCCTTGATTTAAAAAAAAAAAAAAAAAAAATTTTCCCATGCATTGTTTATTCAGAGAATCTTTAAACAATCATGAAAGATAGTACAATCATATGATTTCCTTCTACATTCTTATACTGAAAAATAAGGAAGTGAAATTGGTCACAAGACAGCAAGTAGTCATTTGTAAAAAAAAAAAATACTGTTATATTATAAAACAGTTTTGAAAATTCAAAGTGGCATTCAAGACCAAGTGGGATATTTTCATTTGTATTTACTAGATCATGAATGTTCTCTCAGTGAGGTTCTGATCTTTCCTTGATTTCTGAGATAACAATTAGTTTTAATACCAAAGTCAATGAACTTTCATTCAGCATTTTCTGCCCAAGGAATGAAAACAACAAGGAGAACTGGAGTTCTGTGGGTGGGACAGGGACTTTGGTGCCAAGAAACCTGTGTTTAGTCTCTTTTCTTCCCCACTTAAAGCGTGACTTTAAGGCCGTTAATGAAACTCTCTGGGGCTTTCAGTTTCTCTTTGAAATTAGGAAGAGAAATATTATTCCTTCTTGACCTAAGTCACAAGCAGACGACCGGCGAGAAACGGGCCAGTTGTACAAGCACTTCTGGAAGTAAATGCACCAACACTGTTTCTTTCAAGGAAGAAAAGGGAGCCCCCTTCCCCTACTACAAGGAGCCCTGGTGGCACAGTGGTTAAGCGCTCGGTTGCTAACCGAAAGGTCAGCGGTTTGAGCCCACCAGCCACTCTGCAGGAGAAAGATACAGCAGTGTGCTTCTGTAAAGATTACAGCCTTGGAAACCCTATGGGGCAGTTCTACTCTGTCCTACAGGGTCACTGTGAGTTGGAATCGACTCGATGGCAAGAGCTTTGGTAGTGTGGTACACCCTCTTACACACACTGATGGTCCCCCGAGTGGCTCACATGGCCGGGAATAGAAACAGGCTACTTTTACCGGCTTGGGGGAAAACAAATTCTATTGTCTTTCCTCAAATTTCTCTCCTAGAACAGAAACTACTATCTCTTTAAATATAATACCCTTGGTGCAGACATAAATATTTACACAATACCCCAGTGAGAGGCAACAGGAAAAATACTTGAGGTCATAAAAGGATAAGAGGTTTTGAAGAGATTACTATAAAGTATTTTAACGTACAGATTGTTTAAAGCTTCTCTCAGAGCCAAGCAAACATTGTTATTTCGGTCATGAAAATCTAGAAGAAAAAGAAATCCCTAAGGGTATCGCCCTACACAGACATGGGCGGCTAGGAGGCTTGTCCCTACAAGCAGTGAGTGTTAATTTAGCAGAAATGCCAGAACAGCAACTTCCAGGTGCTGATATATTCAAGAGCAGTGATTCTCAACTGGGGACAAGTGTGCCCCTCAGGGGGTAGCTGGCAATGTCTGGAGACGTTTTTGGTTGTCACAGTTGGGAGGAGGGGGATACTACTGGCATCTGGTGGGAAGAGGCCTGGGATGATCCTCAATATCCTACAATGCACAGGGCAGCCCCCATGACACAGAATTATCTGGAGCCTTTCCTGCAAGAAAGTAGCCCTGGTGGCGCAGTGGTTAAAATGTTCAGCTGCTAACTGAAAGGTCAGTGGTTCGAACCCACCAGAGGCTCCATGGGAGAAAGATGTGGCAGTCTGCTTCCGTAAAGATGACAGCCTTGGAAACCCTATGGGGCAGTTCTACTCCATCCTAGTGGGTCACCAGGAGTCGGAATCCACTCGACAGCAATGGGTTTTTTGTTTGTTTGTTTCTTGCCAGGGGAGAGGACAGGGGCACCCAGGGAGCCGGTGTGGGCCGAAGACTCACCCCAGCAGGCACAGGCTTCCGCAGGAGAGCCAGGTGAGGGCACCAGCATTGTAGGTGAGCCTCGTCACGATCATCTTGTTGCAGGAGGGACAGCACATCTGGATCGGGCGGTCGAAAAACGAGACGGGCTGCTGCACATACACGGTCTGCACGGCAACTGGTGGGAGGGGGCAGGACAGACACGGCCGCTCAGCAAACAAGGGAAGCAACATCCAGCAAAAGACAACCAGAGGAGGAGAGGAAGCTGGGGCACACCTCCTCAGTCATACTCTGAGGGGCTCTCAAAACCTCTGCACACAAGATAGGGAAAACGGGACTGCGCACTGCTGGAGGAGGGATTTGGCTCAGGTGGACCAGGCGTCTGAACTCGACTGTCCATAGAATTGTTCAGGGGACTTACTGAAAATGCGGAGCCCTGGTGGTGCAGTGGCTAAGACGTACAGCAAGCTATGGCTGCTAGTTCGAATCCACCAGCTGCTCCTTGGAAACTCTATGGGGCAGTTCTACCCTGTCCTATAGGGTCGCTATGAGTAGAAATCGACTTGATGGCAACGGGTTTGGTTTTTTGGTGCCGAGAATGCAGATTCTTGAGCCCTACTCCCCAGAAGGTGTGACTGAGTAGGTCTAGGGCAGGGTCCCCAAGCTGCCTTTCATGCCTCCCAAGTGATTCTCCCAAGGTGGTTTTTTCACCCAGAGATTAGTGGTTGATTAGTGGTTGCTAGGTGCCTGGGAAGTGACTGCTAATGGGTTCAAGGTTTTTTTTTTTTCGGGGGGAGAGAGGGGGCAATGGAAATATTCTGGAATTAGTGCGATGGTTGCACACCTTTGTGACTATACGAGAACCCACTGAACTGTATACTTTAAAAGGGTAAACTTGATGGTAAGTGAACTACATCTCAATAAAGCTGCTATTCAGAAAATGGAATAGTGCCTCCCTCCTAGCTGCTGCAAGAGCTGGATATGATTAAGACTGTAAAGAGCTTGCACTGTGCCTGGTGCAGGGTTAATCCTTGATTAAATGACCCACTCTTTGCACACGGCTCCTTGAAGAATGCCAATGCCCAATGATAAGGGCAGTGTTTACCAAGCCAGGGAACACTGACCCAGCTCTTTGAGACGCCAAGCTGGCGAACCGTGTTGATACATGAAATCAGTGTATGAAATAATGCTAAGAAGAGAAAACTATGTGAGCACATGTAAGGGCATTCACAACAATCAGAAGGGAATCTGGACTGATGGAAATAGTTAAGCACTTCGAGTTCAGTGGGTTCTTTGTTTTTTGGCAAAGTTGTTTAAGCTCATATTTCTGGCAGAGCGACTTCCTTCTGTTTCTTTTTACGTCGTTAGAATGCCTTTCCTATAATCTTTATGTTAGGGGGGAAAGAACTAGCGCTCAGAGTTAACTGAACCTAACACTCATAGAAAGAACCTCCTTCCAAAAAAGCAACAGCATTGAAAGCTACTTTAGCAGCTGCATGTAAACTGTATTGAGTATTGGGGTGGGGGGTGGGGGGTGGGGTTCAACAATAAGTTATTTATCGATCACGATGTGATCCAAAACTCTAAAGTCATTATCTCATCCACTTACGTCTTGAGAAGTCAAAATAATTAGAAGGCAGTAACAATAATTCCACTACCACCAGTTGCCTTCAGGTTGACTCCGACTCATGGCGACCCCATGCGTGTCAGAGTAGAACTGTGCTCAAGAGGATTTTCAATGGCTTTTTTTGGAAGGAGATCGCCAGGCCTTTCTTCTGAGGCACCTCTGGATGGATGCGAACCTCCAACCTTTCAGATCGCGGCTGAGCACGTTAACCATTTGTACCACCCAGGGACTCCAATAATAATAATAGTTCTTGATTATCAAATGATTACTCTGTGCCTGGCATAGAGAATGTTATTTAATCTTAACAACTCACTGACGTAGATACCTAGTGAGGCCTATTTTACAGATGAAAGGAGCCTTCGTGTAACAATGGTTAAAGTGCTCGGCTGCTAACCGAAAGCTCTGCTGTTTGAACCCACCCAGCAGCTCCATGGGAGAAAGATTTAGAGATCCGCTCCCATAAAGATTACAGCCTAGGAAACCCCACAGGGCAGTTCTACTCTGTCACATACGGTCGCTGTGGTCAGAGTCGACTCGATGGCATACAACAACAACAACATCCAGGATATAAGGGTTCCTGGTGGCGCAACAGTTAAGTGTTGGGCTGCTAACCGAAAGGGCGGCAGTTCGAACCTACCAGTGGCTCCACGGGACAAAGGCCTGGCGATCTGCTTCCATAAAGACTACAGCCTAGGAACCCCGTGGAGCAGTTCTACTCTGTCACATGGGGTCACACTATGAGTCAGAATCAACTCAACAGCAACAGGTAATGGGGTATTTTACAGATGAGGAAACCGAGGCACAGGAGGTGAAGTGAACCCAGGCACAGTCTGACTCCCAGGTCCATTCTCTAAGTCAGTACTTCCTGAACTGCCTGTGACACTGAATCAGCTACACACCTGGGTGGACCCGGGCGCACCTGGGCAGCATGAAGGATCAAAGGGCAGGGACCATGAAGAAGTGGCTCGAGGACAGAGAAGCAACCTGCACTAATGATGAGCTGGGGGAGGTTTCACCCCATTTTTCATTCACAACTACTCCTTCTCCCTCTCCTACTCCAGCCTGGGGTTCAGGGACAAGAGTCCTCCGTCAGACTTCACCATGAGGGGCCAGGGCCCTTCAAACATGAACTCCCACTCCCAAATTTCTCTGGGATAAACAGCTGGTTATACCTTTGTGATAAGCTGACAAATTACTGACTTACGGTGAACACAGTAGCTTATTATGGAACAACTGAGCCTCACCGAGGTGCAACCTGAAAGACTGTGTATGAGATTTCAGGATAAGGGGTGCAGCTGGACTGGCCGGCACGTAGCTAAGACTCTTTAGGCAGAGTCACTTCAGTCCCTCTCCTGAGACTCAAGGAGTCCCCAAGGCCAGGGCAGAGGGCTGAGGGGCGGTTGGGGAGGCCTGGGGCAGCCGTACTTACTGGCATTGGCGTTGGGGACGGGCACCGGCTGCGTGTAGTACGCGGGTGGATTCATGCCCTTCCCGTCGGGACCCGACACGAGCCCCGTGGTCGGCCCAGGCGCGGGTGCTGGTGGCGTGGGGTAGTAACTGTTGATGGTCTCTTCATAGGATGGGGGTGCACTTGGCACCGAGGAAGGCCCAGCGGCTGCCTGATAGGGTCCTGGAGCTGACATTTTCACCTAAAAACAGAAGACAGTGGAATCAGAAATTCAACTGACATCTCTTTCTCTCTGTCTTTCCCCTGATCTTTAGTTTTCTCCCTGTCAAACAGAAAATCTGAAGAAATGACTTACACCCAGCTTTGCCCAAAAGCCAGAAAGGGAGCCTTTCATTGCCCCTTCAAGATCTTCAAATTATCACCTTAACGAAGGATCCCCTGAGTAAACGTAACAGGTAAATAACTACAATCGAAAATCATCAAAAATCTACGAATTCCCAAGAGGAAACATCAACTAAGAGGAGAAATTTCTTCACCCTACAATGACTTGTCTTGAAAATCTAGTGTTTTTTTCTCTTTTTCAACTGCTGCGATTTTTACTAACAGTGTTTCAGGTGATGGAAAAGAAAAACCACAGACTACCACAAATAGAATGCTGAGCAAAAGAAGCCAGATGCAAAAAACACATGTGGTAGAACACTCATGTATACTGCAGCGCTGTCCACAGTGGCCAAAAGGTGGAAACAGCCTCAATGTCCATCCACAGACAAACGGATACACCAAATGTGGTGTACACATACCATGGAATAGTACTCAGCCATAAACAGCAATAAAGGCCTGATACAAGCCACAACATGGAGAAGCCCAGAAAATGTTATGCTGAGTGAAATAAGTCAGTCACAAAAGGACAAATACCATATGCTCCCACTTACGTGAACTAACTAAATATACAGACACTCGAGATGATTAATGGTTACCAAGGGGCGGGAGGGAGGGGACAGGGGAGTCATTGCTTGGGGGGCACCGAGCTTCTGTTCAGGGTGACAGAAAAATCTGGAAAAGGATAGTGGTGATGGTTGCACAACATGATGAAAGTAATCAATGTCACCAAATTATACTCATAAAAAATAGATGAACTGAAAAATGTTTTGTTATGTATATTTACAAAAAAAAAAAACACCCTGTACAGTCTCATTTACATAAAGTTCAGATACTGGCAGAACGAATCCATGGGGCCAGAAGTCATGAAAGTAGTTATCCTGCAAGGGGAGTCAAGTCTGGGAGGGGGGCCCCAGAAGGGGTGGTCATGTTGTTTCTTCATCTAGGGGTGGTCACAGGGGTGTGCTTATCTCGTGAAAAATTTGAGTTGTACAATTAAGATTTGTGTACTTTTTTACACACATGTTCGTTTTTTAAAAAGTAAACACACACATTCACTCACAGCTGTACCCCTTTTGAAAAATGAGTACAAGAGCAGCCAGGCACATATTTCCTTTGTGAGGGCAAAGAAAGGATTTTTTTTTTCTGGGCAAAGCTGGTCCCCGCCTCAAATTACACCACCTGTACCCAGGGTGTGTTCCTGTCCGAAGCACTGTGCTCACCACCATGGAGGCAGCTCTAGGACGCACAAAGCTGCCCTTTGTGTGGCTCTGTTTTCTCAACTGACCAGGGCGAAGCTGCATTAGAGAACCTATTTAAACCCATCTCGGGAGAATAGGGAAATGAGAGTGAGGGCTTCATGCCAGGATCCAGGGGCTCAGACAGGCCTGCCGCCCTGTCCCCACATCCCGTCTCATTTTCCAGAACCCGTGGGAAGCAGAAGCAGCAATTAATTCTGCTGCACAGCAAAGGGGAGACTCCTGCCTTTAAACCAAGCCCGAAGAAGAGATTTCTCTGGGGAAAGATAAGAAAGAGCATTTCAAAGTGGAAATAGAGGCATAGGGAAGTAAACTCGTACAACAAAGTGAGACAAAGTCAATAAATAAAGCAAGACAGATTGCCGGGCCGCGTTCTAGAAACTTCGGAAGCCCTTTTGAGGTGTCTGTCTTTTGTTCTGTACGCCTGTGCTGTCCAGTAAAACTTTCTGTGATGATGGAAATGTTCTATAGATGACGGAAATGTCCAATGTGGTAGCCACTGGCCACATGTGGCTACTGTGACTGAGGAAGTGGACTTTTAATTTTATGTAAGTTTAAGCAATAGCCAAAAGGTGGAAGCAGCCTAAATGTCCATTTACAGATGAATGGATAAACAAAATGCAGTGTATACATACAATGGAATATTACTCAGCCATAAAGAGAAACACAGTCCTGATACACGCTATGATTTGGATAAACCTTGAAAACATCATCCTGAGTGAAATAAGTCAGTCACAGAAGGATAAACACTGTATGATCCCACTCATATGAAGTATCTACAACAGGCAAGTATAGCAAGACCAAAGTTTATTAGTGGTAACCAATGGCAGGCGGGAGGGAGGGGGAAAGAAAGACTCAATTCTTAGGGAACCCTGAGCTGTGAAGGATGATTGGAAAATTCGAGAATGGTTAAGGGTGATGATTGAGCAACACTAATAAACATACTTAATGTCACTGAATTGTACATGTGAAAATTGCTGAAATGGCAAATGTTTTGTCATCTACAAATTTGCCACCAAAAAAATAAATAAGTAAGTTTAAAAACTGGTAACTCGACTCAATTATTAGAAAACTTTCATGTAAGTCTGGGACAACTTGGGTACGTGAATCTATTTTTGCAACAGTAAATTTAATGACATCTAAATACAGATAAAATATTTCTGGTAAAAATTTAGCATCCAATTTGGGGTCTGAGGTCAATGTAACATACACACTGGATTCAAAAGACTTCGTAGGAAAAAAATTCGTGTATAATATCTCGTTAATAATTTTTATATTGATTATATGTTGAAATATTTTAGATATAATAAGTAAAAAAAAAATGCCATTAAAATTATTTCACCTGTTTCTTTTTTTTTTTAACATGGCTACTAAAAAATTTTAAACCACATATGTGATCTGCTTTATGTTTCCATTGGTCGACGCTGCTATGAGCAATGGGGAGCCATTGAAGGTTATAGAGGAAGGGTGGATAAAAGAGGCGGTCTGTAAGAGAAGGACCATGCAGGGTCCCTGCATGAAAGTGGAGGCGGGAAGGGGGGAATCAAGGCTACAGGGGAGGGTTAAGCAGAAGGGCAGGAAGAGACTTTAACAAGATCACAGAAGATATTTGTAAAAACAGGTTCAGGGTTTAATAATGAGACCCACTGTGAAAAGTGGTTTCTTTAAGGCCCGTTGCTGGTTTCCGCTGACATTCAGGAAGAGAAACGCAGATGAAGGACGGAAGAAAACCACCAACATCAGTTCCAGGGTAAACCTCACCACATACCTCAGCTGACGTTTCTTCCCCAGTGGCCCCCAGTCACCCCCACACATCTGCTTCTCACCTCAACTGGGCGGGCTTGTAGGCATGCTGCGCAAAGGGAATAGCCTGAACCGCGCAGGCACTTTGCTAGTCTGGAGTTATTTACAGCCGTGCCGAACATCAAGAACTTGCTGTCCCTTCCTGTTTCAGGAAGGGAACGCAAAGGCAGGCTCGGAGCTGCCTACAAGATTTATTTTGAAAACTGCATCATATAAAAAATTACAAGACCAGAACCCACCGACACGTTCTGGAAACCCCAGAATAGTACTGTCTGCTGTGGTTCAAGGCAGAGTGCTTTGTCGGGGGAGAAGGTCTCGGGGCGCACAGAGTTGTGCAGTTTGGACCAAACTGCTGAAAAGCAATGAGTCCACACAGCAGTGGAATTTCCATTCCTCAAAAACCACGGCCTCCCTCTTCCAGAAGTGCGGACGTGCAGCCAGAATGTGCCGGACACGCGTTTTAAAGCATAAATGTGCAGGCGTCAAGAGGAGGGGAGCCACTTCTTCCCATGATCTTCCAATGGGGAAGGGCCTTCTTGTTTTAAGAATTAAGGCAAGAGGCCCCCCTGGTTATTGATCAGGTATCAATTTTCATGTAGTCACATCCCCTTTCGAGCATTGCTTTCGGATCAAACAGCCACCTAAACCTACTTAAAATTCTGAAAAGAACAAGAGCAACAGGCCAGAATAGTAAAAACCCCATAACCAGCTGGTTTGACAGTTGTTTAAATAAATTCCACAGCTTTCCTTCCCTGAGGCCTCAAGCCAGGAAATGCCACTTCAATCAGCCCCATTTCTTTTTAATTTGTTAGCTTCTCCTAGGGGCAGGAGGCCCACCTGCCCACCCACCTACCCACCCTCCTCCATTCTCCCACCCTCACCCCTCCTCCCACATGAGACTCTTTAAGAACAGCCATTAGTACCCCCCTCCCATATGGAGTCCCTGGGTGGTGCAAACAGACCCAAAGGCTGGAGGTTCAAGTCCACCCAAAGGCACCTCAGAAGAAAGGCCGGCGATCTACTTCTGAAAACTCAGCCACTGAAAACCCCATGCAGCACAGTTCTACTCTGACACACATGGGGTCACCAAGAGTCACTATCTATTCGAGGGCAACTGCTGGTGGTGGTTTACACACAGACACGCACCCATATCACACCGCTGGCTATAGAGAGAGCACCCAAGATCACCCAGGAGCACTCAAGATCATCCCAAATCACCTAAGATCAAGACACCTGTGTGCTGGGGCGCTCACACAATTACATCTAATAAATACTTGTCTTTTTGCCAGAAAAAAACGGACACTGTAGGAAGGCATTTCTGATTTAACAAAACAGCAAGGCTACAGTTCTGGCTCGTACAAGCGTGGCCTGAGAGAACCCTTTGGTGGCTGGGCAGTTGGGGCTATCATCACAGCAGCCAAGTTAGCAGGTCTCTTCAGAGTCTGGGTCACCATAGTGACAAGGGGCTTTGCGGGGGGAAATAAAGGAATCGATAAGGGATTGCCCTCCCCACTCCCTCCCCAGTTGTTTGACTTTGCCATTAGACCCCCGGGAGTGGCATTCCAAAGTCCATTTAAAAGGAGGCGCTTTCCACCACCCCCCAAGTCCATAAAGAAAATGTAAGAGTTGGAGGTCTCTGCTTTCACCATCTCAGGATGATTCTTTTATCAGCTATTTCCAGACCCAGAGAGAAATTCCAAATCTATTTTTTAAATATGGAAACTGTGCCCAGGGCCGGCTGCATGGGTGGGCAGCCCCTGCAGTCAAAGAGGGCCTCACGCTGGGCTGAAGGCTCTGCTCTCGCCATCTTGAATTCTTATTACTTCTTTTAACAAAGGACCTGTATTTTCTTGTTACACTGGGCCTCGAAAGTGATATAGTCAAATGTAATGGCTGATTGTTGATAACCAAAACCAAACCCACTGTCATCGAGTTGATTCCAACTCATAGCGGCCCTACAGGACACAGTAGAACTGCCCCTATAAGGTTTCCAATGAGCGGCTGGTGGATTTGAACTGCCAACCTTTCGGTTAGCAGCCAAACGCTGAACCACTGTGCCACCAGGGCTCCCATCAAGTCAGTTCCAATTCATAGTGACCCCATGTACAACAGAACAAAACATTGCCTAGTCCTGCACCACCTTCGTGATCTTTGGCATGCTCAAATCCACTGCTGCAGCCACTGTGTATTCTGAGTGCCTTCCAACCTAGGCGACTCATCTTCCAACACTACGCTGGGCAATATTCTGTTGTGATTCACAAGGTTTTCAATGGCTAATTTAAGTAGATCTCCAGGCCTTTCTTCCTAGTCTGTCTCAGTCTGGAAGCTCTGCTGAAACCTGTCCACCATGAGTGACTCTGCTGATATTTGAACTACCCGTGGCATAGCTTCCAGCATTATAGCAACACAAAAGTCATGGCAGTACGGCAAACTGACAGATGGGTGGTGGGATTGCTGGTTACAGAAAAAGAAGAAGAGATACTTCTGAATCATGAAGACGCATTTCTGACGCAAGGAGAATTGGGCTTCAATTTAGAAATCAACCCATGAACAGCTGCGTGATCCTCAACAGACAGCCTCAACTCTGCAGGCCCCCACTTTCCCTCTCTATAAACACATCATTTGGAATTCTGGGGTATCGTTTAGCTAAAAATTTCCCTCATCCCAAGTCTCAGCAGTTTGCTCAGTGAACAAGACTGTCTTAATTGGGCAGCGAGGGGTACATCAGTATTTATCTCAGGCCCCACAGGGCTATGTCATTGAACCCTGGTGTAGAACAGCATCTCAGTCTTTTTCTCATTACCAGCCCCCTCCAAGGAGAAAAATTAAATTATATTTAAATTTAATTAATTAATTAAAATATAATTTAATTTCTCCCTAACAAGAGAAATTAAATACTAAGAAATAAGATTTTCTTGGGTTGAGTTTTAAAGAGCCACAGAACCCAGAAGCAGAGCCCGGTGCTGTCGAGTCAATTCCGACTCACAGTGACTCAGCGTGTGTCAGAGTAGAACTGTGCTCCATACGGGTTTCAACAGCTGATTTTTCAGAAGTAGATCACCAGGATTTTATTCTGAGAAGCCTCTGGGTGGACTCGAACCTCCAATCTTTTGGTTGGCAGTGGAGCACATTAACCTTCTGCACCACCCAGGCACTCCTGGAAGGCCACTTGCCATTGTAAATATCTAACGACTTCAACCTCTCCCCAAAAACCAATTTGTTGCTGTGTGCCTTCCGGTCAATTCTGACTCATAACGAGTCGGTTTCGACTCATAGCAGCCCCAAGTCACAGAGCAGAACTTCCTCATAGGGTTTTCTAGGCTGTAATCTTTATGGAGGAGTCCTGGTGACCCAGTGGTTAAGCATTCAGCTGCTAACCAACAGGTCAGCAGTTCGAATCCACAAGCCGCTCCTTGGAAACCCTGTGGGACAGTTCTACTCTGTCCTATAAGGTTGCTCTGGGTCGGAATCCGCTAGATAGCGAGAGGTCTGGTTTTGTCGTTTTAAAAAATCTTTACAGAGGCAGATTGCCAGGTCTTTCTCCCATGGAGCTGCTGGGTAGGTTCAAATCGCCACCCTCTAGGTTAGTAGCTGAATGCTTAACCATTTGCACCACCAGGGCTCCTTCTGGAGCTCTTTAGGCTTCACCAAAACACCTGCCAGCAGGGGCAGTGGTGGTTCGGTGGTAGAATCCTCCCCTCCCACGCGGGGGACCCAGGTTCAATTCCCAGCCAGTGCACCTTATGCACGGCCACCACCTATCTGTCAGTGGAGGTTTGAGTGTTGCTATGATGCTGAACAGGTTTCAGCGGAGTTTCCAGATGAAGACAGACTAGGAGGAAAGGCCTGGCATTCTACTCCTGAAAACCAGCCATTGAAAACCTTATGGACCACAATGGCCTGATCCTGTTGTAACACCAATATGCACCATATCTGAATTCGCCAGACAGGAAGGCTGACCAGGCCTTTTCAGTGGAAACTGCGGCCAGGCTGGGAAACTCAGACACAACCAGCAGCATCATTTTGCACACCTTGCCCCCAAAACACGAAAGGAAAATAAATTCTCAGCGGAAGCAACACATCTGAACCCTTGAGGTCATCACTTCTCTGTGCCTCCTTTACATGTGTGAAGACACATTCACTGCAGACATTCACACATACCAAGAAAAGAGGAAATAATACCTGCCAACTATGGATTCCAGTGGATTTTGTCCCCGAGCACTTCGCAATTCAAAACAACCTGCTTCTCTCTGGTAAACAGAGGTCAGGATCTTATTGATCACCAAGGGTATTTATTCATAAAACTCCTTCTTATTTTAGGGAGATGAACAATGAAGGTGGAGGAAAAAAACCATGGGGCTCAACAGAATACTTCTGAGATGCAGCATGTCCTACACTGCATTTTAAAAGCAACTCAGGGTGATGCGGGAATACCTCAGCCGCCTGCCCCAACACCCGGCTAGGGGGAAAAGGCAAAGGCAAAGCCCTCAGAGCCCCTAGCCAACTGAAAAGAGCAACTTGGTCTCAGCTTTTTAATAAACAAACCCTTGAAATGCTGGAGAGAAGCCACAAGGTTAGCAGGATGCAGGGGCTGCCAATCACTGGGTAACATCAGAGCACCCAGAACTGATGCTGAGAAAATGATCCTGAAAGCTTGCAATGCGGAAATAAGTTCCATGGGGCACCTCGCTTTTGCAACAGATTTGCTCCTAAAATTCTACCTGAACAGCAGATGTTCATTCCATGTTTGCGGAGTCAAACTAACATGCATGATTTAAAGTGTTCTGCCTCCAATGCTAAATTCAAAGGAAAGAGTCTGACTTCTTGGAAGCCTAGAGGTGGTCGACTTACCAGCTTCATCACTGATAATTCAGCCTCCGAGACATTGCTGAAATCCTCTCTGGTATCCCTATCACAAGCTAAGGGCTTGAATCTGAGCCTCAAGTTTGCCTCTAGTCTTAGACTAGGAGTCCCTGGGCGGTGCAAACTGTTAACACGCTCAACCGCTAGCTGAAAGGTTGGAGGTCTGAGTCCGCCCAGAGGCGCCTCAGAAGAAAGGCCTGGAGATCTACTTCTGAAAAAGCAGCCATTAAAAACCCTATGGAGCACAGTTCCACTCCGACACACATGGGGTCACCATGAGTGAGGGTCGACTTGGCAGGAGCTGGTTTTTGGTTTTAAAATCTGAGAAAACAAAGTTTTTAAACAGAAAATGTTTATGTAATGATGAGCCACAATACAGATGGTATTGCAGTTCAGCTCAAGGTAACACGAGGATTTACAGTTCAAACGTCAAAGCGTCGCCAAATATGCTCCAGGATTGGAAATCACTTAATTGGGTCTGGAATCCTTTGTTTCCTTCAGGATTCCTGGAGGGGAGTGGTGTTTCTCAGTGGGACATCCTGGGGTGTCTCGGCAGGAGATCAAGTCAAGATGTGGGTGGAAGAGAAACAACTTGAAAAGGGAAGTGTGGAGGCGTGCAAAAATGAACATGATAAAATCGGAAAGAAAAAAAGCCACAGTCTGCGAACCTCAAGACAGGTTCATTTTTGCTCTCTGATACAAGTTTACGGTGCTGTTGGTATCATGACTCTGCAGAAGGTGGCCTCAGGTTTTGGCGACATCCATTCCTGGCTCTGGTTCAGGTTATGGAAGAGACTCAGGAGACGGTATGTTCCAACTTTTTATCCATTTAAAACCTGAAATTGTAAGCCCGCTCCTCATGCCACCACCCCATAAAGCTCAGAAATGCCTGTCATACCATGTTCATTTTAAACCAAAAAAACCAAACCAGTTGGTGTTGAGTTGAATCTGACTCATGGTGACCACATGTGTTTCAGAGTGGAACTACACAGAAGGTTTTCAATGGC